ATTTTTTATTTCAGTTTTTTATTTTTGCTGGTGCATAGCACTGTGGTTTTTTAAAGATATTGATTTTGTATCCTGAAATATTGCCAAAATCACTTGTACATTCTTTAACTTTTTTCTACCAAATTTTCAAATAAATTACCATATCTGAAAATAAAAATTGTTTTTACTTAATTTTTTTTCTGTTTCATAATTCTGCCTAGAGCTTCTACTGAAATATTTAATGGAGATGGTGAGATTGGACACCTTTGTCTTGTTACTGATCTTAGGTTGGAAGCATTCAGTCTTCCATCATTACTATTGTATTAACTATGTGTTTTTCATAGAAATACTTTTCCAGGTTGAGGAAATTTCCTGCTATTTCTGATTTAGTAAGAGTTATTATTATTTTTTTAATTTTTTTAACATTTATTTATTTTTGAAACAGAGAGAGAGAGAGAGCATGAACAGGGGAGGGTCAGAGAAAGAGGGAGACACAGAATCTGAAACAGGACCCAGACTCTGAGCTGTCAGCACAGAGCCTGATGCAGGGCTCGAACCCACGGACTGCAAGATCATGACCTGAGCCAAAGTCAGACACTTAACCGACTGAGCCTCCCAGGCACCCCAGTAAGAGTTATTATTAAGAATGGATGTTGGATTTTGTCAAATGCTTTTTCTACATCTAGTGAGATTTTATATATAGTACGGTCCTTTTTATCAGGCTTGTTTTTCTGGAATAAGTCCTTGTAAAAATTTTTGGATTTGATATTATAAAATTCTATTAATAATTTTTTCACCTATAATTATTAGTGATATGGGTCTGTAGTTGTCTTTTCTTGTAGTGTCTTTGTTCAGTTTTGATATCAAAGTAATGATGGCTTCATAAAGTGATTTAAAAAATGTTTATTTAGTTTTGAGATATAGAGAACACAAGCTAGGAGGGGCAAAGAGAGAGAATGAGACATGGAATCTGAAGCAGGCTTCAGTCTCTGAGCTGTCAGCACACAGCCCTATGTGGGGCTCAAACTCGTGAACTGCCAGACAATGACATGAACTGAAGTTGGATGCTTAAATGACTGAGCCACCCGGGTGCCCCGGTTTTAAGAGTCTTTAGATAGACCACAGCAGTGCTCATCCTTGTGGTAATTATTCTGCACTACTGTGGCAAGATCATTCTTTTTGCTCTACTTGATTCCCCATGAATTATGGAAACAGCACTACTCCTAGTCCTGTGTGATGATCCCTTTCAGATGCTTCTCTCTACAGCCTCAAGTAGTTTCCTCTCCTGAATTCACTGATCAGCACTCAGCTGAATACTTGAAAGGAACTCTGTAGATTTCTGGAGTTTTCATTGTGTTGACCTCTGTCTGTTATACTGTCTTGTGAATCCAAGTCACCATCTTGCCTCTCCTAGAATCTTAGCTCTCTATCCAAGTCAGAGAGTCCTCTGAGCATTTACTGGATTCCCACTCCTTCTACTGCATCCCAGAAATTCTCTCAAGTTAATAGGCTTAGGCTTTTGAGGATGTTGGTATCCTCCAAAATTTATGTTAAAATCTTAATGCCCAAATTGATAGTATTAGGAAGTGGGCCTTTGAGAGGTGATTAGGCCATGAGGACAGAGCCTTCATGAATCTGATTAGTCTCATACAAGAGGCTCAAGAGAGTTCTCTTGTCCCTTCCGCCATGTGAGAGTATAATGAAAAATCTGCTAAACAGAATAGGGTCTTCACCTGACCATGGCTGGCATCCTGATCTTGGACTTTTAGCCTCCAAAACTGTGAAAAATAAATTTCTGTTGTTTATAAACTTCCCAGTCTATAATATTTGGTTAGAGCAGTCTTAAAGGTTAAGATATTAGTCACAAGCCTCACCTCATTTGTTTACCATCTCTCAAGGATTACTCACCTTGATTGCCTGATTTCTAGTGTCTTAAAACTTTTGTTTCCCATATTTTGTCCATTTTTGGTTGTTTCAGTAAAGATTGTTATTCCTTGTTATTCCATCTTGCTCAGAAGTGAAAATTCTATTTATTTGTAATTACATAGTAAACTATGAGGAATTTTTTGTAAAAATTAAAATAGTGTGGATTACTACAGAAGTCTCCCTTTAGTGTCTGCAATGTCAGTCCCTTTCTCAGATGTAACCACTGTTTTGTGAGTATCTTTCAAGACTATTTTCCATACATTTATACGTATATATCTTCACATAGCATAATATATTTCATGTGTGCATTTTCCAAACAAATGCCACATCTTTCATATAGTTCAGAAACCTACTATTTTCAGGCAATGATGTGAGACATTTCCATCCCCATACATAGAAGTCTCACTCATTCTTTTCAATTTCTTCAGTATTGGTAAAATAGTCTGTTTAATCATTTCTGTATTGATTACGATACTTTTTCATTTTTTCTCTACTGACATGATAGGTGCGTTGAACAGCCTTATATACTCCTCTTTATGCAGTTGTACAAATATTTCTCTAAGGCAGATAATACAAATAGAATATCTAAGCCAAGGGTAAGCACCTTTTAAAATTTGATAGTGTCAAGTTGCCCTCTAGAATCCTTCACAACAAAATTGTGTATATGAAAGAACATCTTCCTCATTTGCTTATCAACTATTGTTAATATGTAATATTTTAAAATGTAATCAAATAAGTGTAAACTGGTTTAATATCGTTTTAATTTTATTTTAAGTTCTGTAGTTACTGGGAAGGTCAAACATATTTTTATGTGTTAACTCTTTATATTTTCTTTGCCGTGAACTACATTTTTTAACCCTTTGCCTATTTTTATAAAGATATCTCTTATTGTTTTGTGAATGGTGTGTTGTGTGTGTGTGTGTGTGTGTGTGTGTGTGTGTCTGAGTCTGTGTGTGTGTTTGCACGTTTTTAAAATTTTATAATCAACAAAATGTATCGTTTTGGAAGGGAAAATATCTGAATCTTTTATTTATATGTATATATTGGTTAATTAATCAATTAATTAAAACCAAGCCATTACCCATTTCCCATCCCAACTCTGCACCTTCCATCAACCACCGTATCTATGACCTAGGCCAAATCCAGGAAACTGGCTTTCCCTTTGTTCCAGTCACATATAGCCTTCTTCAACGTGTTATCTTTTTAGGATTATTTTTATCTTTTATACTAAACTTTAATAACAGCTTGTTTTTTTTTTTCTGCATGTATATTTTGGATAGAAATTAGATATTGTGGTTAATCTGGAAATTTGGATCAATGTAAAGGCTGCTTTATGGCCTCTTAGTCTGAATTAGAAGTGTGGTAAGTAAGACCAGCTAAGGAATCCAGATTATATTTTATATTTTTTTTTCTTTGCTAATGGCAGAGTTGTGGCTATAGACCTGTTTATACAACTTGAATAGAATTATATAGGGATTTATTGTCTGAGGCCCTGTTTCTGAGAATGCAGGTTAGACTGAGTCGATTTATCAAGGAAGAAATACAAATTCTTACTGTTTGATTTTAATTGTAACACTCAAAAGTTTACGTAGGGTTATCCTCAGCAAGGTTGAACAAATTCATAATATAGGTGAAAACTCTTAACTGGTTAGGTCTGGCTGCTTATATGAACATAAAATAATTTGTGTTAATTTCTTTGACTTGACAAGGTATATATTACATGATTCTTCTAGTGAGTATATTTTTTACTCACTATAACTACTGGCCTTTTCTTGGGGATTTTCCTGGTGAGCTCCTTGAGAGTGGAAGTTTGCTTCATTACTCTTCAAGTCTTTCTTAGCCTTTGGCACAGCGCCTTCCATGTCTCTAGGCAAGCTCTGCTCAGGAAAATGTTGACTGTTAATAAAGAATAATATTAAACATACTGCTCATATTGATAATAATGATAATAGTGATAATAATAGCTAGAATTGAGTTTATGTTACATATTAGGCAGGGGCCTAATGTCTAGTTCACTTCCTTTTAAAAATGAGGTAACTGAGGTCTATAAAGGTAAGACAGAGGTAGAGCCTAGATTCTGACCCAAGCATTATGACACAATATGCTGGACTTCAGTTGATGCACTATGTACAATTCAAATTCAGTCAATGTGTATAATTTCATAAAGCACTCTTGTTTGAAAATCTGTCTCCTCCTACTAGGCCTCATGTTTATTGAGGTCAGGTGTCCATCTTGTTTATTTTTTTCTTCCAGGTTGTAGCACAGTGTTTCTGGCACAGAGGAAGCTCTCTGTAAATGGTATTAAAGTAGTGAATGGGATGAATGTCATGCCCTTCCCCCAGAACCTTCCAGAACAATGTCTAAAATCTCTATACCTTATATGGCTCTTAGAATGCATATTTCTGTGCACAATGAGTACTATATGAATGTTAATTGATGATATGACTGAAGGTAATAATGTATTTTTTCCTCAGAGTCATAAAAGTGGGTAGTTGTATTAGTCAGCCATTACTCATAATAAAAATTCCCAAAGCTCAGTGATTTAAGAGAACCATTTATTCCTGGTTTGTTGTGTGTAGGTAGGCACAGAGTTGACTTTCTCAGCTGCTGTGGGCCCCGGGGTAGTGGTTGAATTCAAACATGTTTCTGTATCTCTCATCTTTCTTGGGCCAGCATGTTTGATGTGGCAGGCTCTTTTTACAAAGATGGCAGGAAGGAGTATAAGCACAGCACATGCCTTATTGGCTAAAGCAAGTCATAGTAGAAGTTGTACACTCCATCTCCAGTAGGAATAACTGCAAAGTTCTATGAAAAAGGGCATGGATTTTGGTAAATAATGGAGTCAATTATTCAGTCTATCACATTTGTACTAACCAAGCAAGTGATAGAGAAAACCATTTAGAAACACCAACAGCAAAATTTTGATTAAGCCCTTAAATTAATGTAGTAGAAATTTGAGGCAAAATCCAAGCCAATTTTTATTTAATCACAGTTTTCTTCTGCCATTCCAACAATTGCAGATAATATTACAGCCATTTCGAGAGTAATCAACTGTCATATCCCAAACAGAAGATTATAACTTCAGCTGGAAATCGAGCAGCAGGAAAGGTGAAGGCTTAAAAAAATAAATAAATAAAACTCACTTGGACTCAAGTGATACTTTGCAATAAAGAAAGAGGGTATGGACAGGAGGATTAAGAAATTAGCCACACAAACAAAATTGTATCCCAGTAGAAGACTGTGCTTGTCATTAGAGGAAGCACCAGAGAGAATTTGGATATCAGAAAATGAAACATGAAGTAAATGTGACTGGCCTTGAACAGTAAAAACTGAAAGATATTTATAAAAAATAGAAAGGTAGTAAATCTAGAAAATTAAACCAGGGAAAATAAAGATTTCCTTTTACTTCGTACCAAAAGCATTATCTTGTATATGTTTCTCTTAAAGCTTCTTAAGCTTATGGAATGAGTGATGCAGAAGAGTGCAGGAGCAATTATACCAGTGTTTCAGTCTTTGAGAGACAGAAATGGATTGTTCACATCCAGGCTCTGTACTCCTTGCAGGTACTGTGTTCGGTATGCTGCCTCCTTCCTTTAGTCTGCCCAAGAGCATCTGTATAGCTGTGTCAATGGCTGGGTCCAAACGAGGATCAGAGAGCAAAGCTGAGACATAAACTTGTACATAAACAAAACACTTCATATTCTATCTGAAGATAAAAGTAATAGGGAAAAATGTCCAATGAAGTAGCTATCCTTGTACAATAGCTGAACATTTCCCTGCAACTTTTCTGTGTTTTTCAAACAATTTTCTTTATTTTCTCTTACATGAAATGACATACACTTGCAATTTCTCACCGCTTGGCCCAAATTGTGGGTCATTTTCTAGTCTCTCAGGCATTTACTGTTTTATATACATATAAATATGTGTACACTTATGTATACACACATATAGGAGAAAAATATGAACATTATCTTAAAATGTACTTTATACCAAGTTTAACAGAAGGAACAATGTGTATGATCTTAAAAATGAATTTTGATAAGTATAAAAACAGGATCAATAACTTTCACAAGAGTTCCTCAGTTTCCCATCCTTGTCCATCAAAGGTAGAGTTGCTGTAAAATAGAATTAGATTTATCAAAATATGGTGAATGTAAGACCATAGTATCCCATCACTTTCTTTACTTCTCAGGGCAAGAATACATTAAATCTGTTCTTGTACTCCTAGTCGAAAAGCAGATACAAATTTAAGGGCTAGAATTCATAGGATCATTTTTTTTAAAAGCTGTGAAAAATACACACACACACACACACACACACACACACATACATACATACATACATAAAGAGGCACCTGAGTGGCTCAGTCAGTTAAGTGTCCAACTCTTTGTTTCAGCTCAGGTCGTGATTTCACAGCTTCCTGGGTTCAAGCCCCTCATCAGGCTCTACGCTGGCAGTGTGGGGCCTACTTGAGATTTTCTCTCTCCTCTCTCTCTGCCCCTCCCCCACTCACACTGTCTCTGTCTCTCTTAAAATAAAAAAAAAAAAAACTTAAAAAAATAAATAATAAAAAGCTATCATATTTGTTTCTGAAAAATCTGATTATGATTGTAGAAATCCAAGGCATACTAGGAAGCAGAATGAATCTTCTGACTTGACTGCTTTTCCATTATTATGTAGAAATAATTCACACACTTCCTGTCTCTGTTTCTCTTTGCATACATAAACCATGGGAATTTTAGCATATTGGGATATATCTAATGTAGACTGGTCCATGAGCTAAAAAGCTCAATTGGAAATTACTACCACCTGCCCAAATCATTCACATGACATAGGGAAGATGTTTGGCCTTGACCTTATGAAATGGATACTGCCTTTCATATCCTACTTTCATGCATGCATCTACTTATTCTTTCAAATCTGTGCTTATTTAGTGAGTATTTTACAGGCCAGATGTTCGGATACATACCAAAGATTAGGAGATTGATGGGGCAAGGGCACAATTGTTGAGAAACTCATAGTCTAAAGAAGATACCCCTATAAACAAGTATTAAATGATGAAAAAACAGGGGCGCCTGGGTGGCGCAGTCGGTTGAGCGTCCGACTTCAGCCAGGTCACGATCTCGCGGTCCGTGAGTTCGAGCCCCCGCGTCAGGCTCTGGGCTGATGGCTCAGAGCCTGGAGCCTGTTTCCGATTCTGTGTCTCCCTCTCTCTCTGCCCCTCCCCCGTTCGTGGTCTGTCTATCTCTGTCCCAAAAATAAATAAAAACGTTGAAAAAAAATTAAAAAAAAAATAAATGATGAAAAAATATCAAAACAAAGTAACAGACCACTATGGAAGCTGGAAGAAAGCAATCAGCTTTGTCACTAGTAGTCCAGAAAGGCTCCACAGAGCAGGTGTACTTGTGCTGGATCTTGAAGTATAAGCAGAAGTCTGCCTCCTACAGAGAAAAATGGAAGATGTACCAAGGAAAAAGGACCTTTGCAAATTCACTGAGACATTCCCCACATGATGCCTGCTGATGGTAACCTGTAATTGAGATATGATTTAAAACACAGTCATGGGGAGTTATTTTAGTAGAAACTGTCTCCTCCTATCTGTACCCTAAATAAGGCTATGAAATAAGTCAAGTAGAATAGAACAGAACCTGAACTGGATATAAAAAAATTTCCCTACTAATAAACCTTTCTTTCAGAAAAGTGGTCATTCTTATCTTGGTTGAGTTCATTGTGTAATAATGTTTATAAAATTTGTTACAACTGACACAGGTAATGATATCTTGAAGCATGTGTAAGTAGGTGGTATTTGCAGATTTGCCAATTTTGCTTTGAACTGTATCTCGTGTCATTGTATAGTTTGTGGATTAGGGAGGGAAATGGAAAGGAACACACTCTTTCTTGCTCTTAAACAAGGCATTTATTTCATTGGAGATATTGTTTATGGGAGCTTCCTAAGTAGTCTTCAAGAACTCATTTATATTCCAATTGAGAATTCAAGTTCTCATTTATAGTAAAAGATCCCCTTAAAATTCTCTGTATTCTCTGTCATATTGTTATGTTTCCACTAAAAAAAGAAGTAGAGGGTTATAGCCATGATTTTGTCTGTTATCTTGTCCAGTTCCTAGGAGAAAGATGAGAATTGCCTGTGTGTCTCCCTTCTTCACCTACTGGCGCTTATTGTCTTGGTTGGCCAAAGAAGAAAGTTATTAGGCTATATATTTTTAAAGGGCAAGAAGAAATGACCCTGGACTTCATTGGGCCTTTTTTGCTAGTTAATTTTGCCTTCCTGATTAAATACTGTCCTCTTACCTAGATTTACAATAAGCACATTTCCTTCTTTTTAATCTTATCTTCCTATACCTGTATATTGTATTTACCCAGTATTTAAAATTTCCCTTGTCATTTTAATATGTAACATTTGCCCAGTTAAATTGTGAAACCTCTCTTTTAACCAGAGTTCCAGACCTGGCCTTACCTGGTCAACTCTGTCTCTTTGACACTTGGGACCCAGCAGGTCAATTCAAGAGCACTGAAACTTCGACTGTCTACCATTTCTTCACAGTCTTAATTGGATATCTTAATTCACAGTCAGACATGTGATTCCACTAATTACCAGCTATATGACCTTGATCAAGATCATCATGGCAGGAGTCCATTATGGAAGTCTACTGTTTATATCTTGCCATCTAATCAATCCTTATCCCCCACAACCCTTACCTTTCTTACCTTTGCCCCGAGAGATATTGCTTTTCTTGTGTGGACCTCTAAAACATAGCATAGTTCATTCTGATAGTCTTCACACAAAATTTAGCCCTCCAGCCTCAAAATCAACCTCTTTTTCCCTGTCTCTCTTGTTCTTTCTGCCTCCCTCCATCCATCCGTTTCTATTTTATTTTTTACACACGTAGAATTTTAAATTATGGTGTTTGTTCATATTTAATAATTTACTATGTACACATCCAAATTTGGGTTTCTATTTTCTTGAGAAATTTTTCTAAAAGAGTTTTGTTTATACAAGTTTGATACAGTTCCTACTACTCTTTTCTCCTAACACCTAGATGCTATTTTTCAGCTTACTTATGCTATTGTTTTCTCTTATGTTTGTCCATCTTCATTCACTCTGCTGCCTGCTCAATCTCTGAAGAGATCTGTGTTTATGACCCCTGGCATAGATTTATTTATAGCCACAAGCAAGATAGGATTTATTTCTAAATTTTTTTTCAACGTTTTTTATTTATTTTGGGACAGAGAGAGACAGAGCATGAACGGGGGAGGGGCAGAGAGAGAGGGAGACACAGAATCGGAAACAGGTTCCAGGCTCCGAGCCATCAGCCCAGAGCCTGATGCGGGGCTCGAACTCACGGACCGCGAGATCGTGACCTGGCTGAAGTCGGACGCTTAACCGACTGCGCCACCCAGGCGCCCCGAGGATTTATTTCTAGAAAATTGAGGGCAAATAGGTAAGTAATCTTCCCAAAGTCATGTTACTCAAAGCCCAGTCTTTTAATTCAATTCAGTATCTTTCTCTTACACAGTGTTTCCCATTCTTGAGTGTGTCTCAGAGATACCTGGAGATCTTGGTAAACAGATCGTTAGCCCCTACCCCAGAGTTGTTTGTTTGTCTGTTTTCTATTTACCAGGTCTGGATTGGGGCCAACAAATTTGTATTTCTAGCAAGTACCTAGTTGATGCTGGTGGGGGACCACACCTTGAGAACCATTATGCTTTGCCATTATCTTTTTTAATATCTTCCCCAAGTCCTTTCAGCTTACCTTTAAAATGAGATGAAGAGTATTTACTCTGTCTTCCTCTCAAGTCTCAAGATTGCTGTTTCAAATCATCTGCAACGACAACAACAACAACAACAAAATACAACTACAAAATAAATATAAACCTTGTCTCCTTCACTAGCGCATAAACTCCATGAAAGCTGGAGCAATCTTGTTCATTTCACTATCTCTAGTTTTTTGATAAATAGTAAGTGCTTTATAATTTTTTGAATAAATTAGTAAATAAAAGGTAAAACCCAGGGCTTGATTAAAATTAAACAAACAAACAAAAAAAAAAAAAGATAGAAGTAGAGACCTGGTCCCTACCAATCAATGACTATTCAAATTCAAGAAAATAATTCCTAAGGAATATCTATGCTTCTCTGATTTATTTGGTAGCTTAGTCATGCTTGTGTTAAGAATGCAAAAGGAAGCAGTGTATCATTTGCTGATAGTGCTTGTTGTAATAGTTTCTCTTCTGGGTAGTAAGAGTTTCTACATAAACATTCAAAGGATTGTAATCACTATCCAGAGACCGAATCCTCTGCCCTGACAGTTGGAAAATGACTCTACGCACTGACAGCCCCACAGGATGGGAAACGCAATAGCTCTGCTACTACTGTGTAATGTTGCTAAGCTTAATTGACTGCACCCATAAGTAGTGGGAGAAAGTGAGAGTGTGTAATCTATACTACTCTTAAATTATCATGTGGTACCAACTTGTAGGCTTCCTGGAGAATCTCTTGGAGGGTAAGCCATGAGGTATTTGGATTTTAGATTTCCCTGCCCATTCTCAGTTTTACTCATTCTTTTTTTTTTTTTCTTAAGTCTCATGCTGTTACTTTCTCAAATGTACTTTGCTTTTGCTTTCTTTTCCTTTGTATCTTTCCACAGAGCCACTCTTATTCCTCTTTTCTCACCTCTCCTTCTTACTGAATACTCTGATCAGCATTCAAACATGAATAATTAAGACACCACTCCTGTCTTTTCATTCCTCTCCAGATACTGTTTGTTCTAATCTGCCATGAAGCTTTTAAAAAAGGTTGTCTATAAAGGCTGTCACACTTTTACTGTCATAATTACCTTACTACTCTTGTCTTATTTTATACCCATGACTCACAAACAGCCTTGCTAAGGACATCAATAATATCCATGTTCAGAATCGAAAGAACACTTCTCAGTCCCCACCTTACTTAACCACTCACTACATTTCACACAATTGATGTGCTTCCTTCTTGAAGGTTCTTTTCTTTTGGCTTCCATATACTACTGACACTCTGTGGCTTTGTGCTTTCCTCCCTGAACACTCCTTTTCAGTCTCCTTTACAAGGTACTGTCTTTGTCTCACTCCTAAACATTAAAGTTCTACTCTTCTTCCTCTACTGTCTTTGCCTGAGTGATCTTACACACACATCATTCAAATGCTAATATTCACTACTTCCTATCATGCATCCATGCCTCTCATCTAACAGATCGGTTTATGGATTCATTGTCTTCTGGGGAACTCTACTTGAATAGCTGTCAGGTATCTCTAACTTGAAATGTCCAAAATTCTACTCCTGAATTCTCACCTTCTCACTTCAACACCTGATGTTTTCTCTCTCTCGTCTGCTATAACTGACCCACAAATTCATGCCAACATCTATCTCCACCCTATCCATGCATCCTCAGCTACACTGTTCATTCTCTTGTCTGATTCATCATCATTGTCTGTCGTCTCTGAAACTTTACCACTTTTAGTCATCTTCCTGAAATGCTGTTCTCCCCACTCTTTATTACAGAGAATTCCTATTTATCTGCAGGTCTTTTTTTTTTAAGTTTGTTTATTTATTTGAGAGAGACAAAGAGAGAGAGAAAGAGAGAGACACAGAGAGAGAAAGAGATAGCATGAGTGGGGGAGGGGCACAGAGAGGGACAGAGAGAATCCTAAGCAGGCTCCTCACTGTCAGGACAGGGCTCAACTTGGGGCTCTAAGTCACAAACAGAAAATCATGACCTGAGCCAAAAACGAGAGTCAGACACTTAACGGACTGAGACACCCAGGTGCCCCTGATCTACCACTCTTAATTTAAATATTCTTTGCTCAGAGACCTTCCCAGACCCCTCAATCCCACTGGTATGCTCTCAGAGCATTTATGCAATTCTTTGTAGCAGTTACCTTGAGTCATAATTCTGCTTTTATATGAATGTTATTTCATGTTACCTCCTTAATATACTGTAAGCCTTATGAGTGCAGTATCCTTGATAGTGTTCCTTTCTTTTTTAAATGATTATATCACCAGGGTGTAGCTCAGAGCCTAATACATATTAGGCCCTTAGTAAATATCTGTTGAATAAAAGGTATTCCTTACAAGTTTTCTTCTTACTAGATATTTTTTTCTAGTTTCCATCTCCTTTTGCTACTTCTCTCAGATTGATTCCTAACTCTGTCCTTTTGTCTCTTTATCCTTTCCTTCTTCTCTCCTTTATTTTTTACTTCTCTTCATTCCTTCATGGAAAACATGGACTTGCCAGTTAAAACTAAAAATCCCTACCTACTTATAAAGTTTATTCTTATTTAAGAGTGAGACAACTAGTTTAATTCAGATAAAGAAACATATACCCAATAGCAGATTTTCATTTCCTTTTTTTTTCTCTTTGTCTCTCTCTCTCTCTCTCTCTCTCTCTCTCTCTCTCTCTCTCTCTCTCTCTGTCACTCAGTCTCAAATTTGGCTTTGTAACCTAGACATTTTGGAAGAGAGATAGTGTGTGGATGAGCAAGATGATTCTGTCTTAAAATACCCAGGACTAACTCTCTATATTGATTCATTCAATCTTTCCTTTATTCATTCATTTAGTCATTTATTCATTTAACTAACTTATTGTGTATTTTGGACTTTTATAGTCTGAACCTCAGACCCCCCATTTACTTTCTGAGTTGCTGTGACAAATAAATTAATCATTTCTCAGTTTCTTTATCTCCTGAAATGGGTAAAAACAGTAACTAATTTATATAATGAGTTATTACATGCAGAAGTGACTAACACATAATGAACTCCATACAATTATTAGCTAGCATTATTTTAAACATCATCATTAATTAATCATTACTTTTTTTGGATATTGTATTACATAATGTTGAACAAAATACAGTGTATGTCTTCACATAGTTTACATTCAAGTACAGGGAAAACTGTGACTAAATTTGGCCCACTCACCAGTTTTGTACATCATGTTTTATTGGAGATGTGCCTGGGTGGCTCAGTAGGTTGAGGGTCTGGCTCTTGATTACAGCTCTGGTCATGGTCTCACCATTTGTGAGATCAAGCCCCATGTAGGGCTCTGTGCTGACAGCATGAGCCTGCTTGGGATTCTCTCTCTCTTCCTCTTTCTCTCTCCCTTCCCTGCTGGTGTGCACACACATTCTCTCTCTCAAAAATAAATACATAAGCATTAATAAAGTTTTATTGGAATATAGATAGCTCATTTCTTTATAATTTGTCTGAAGTTGCTTCATGCTGCAACAGCGACACTGAATAGTTGTTAAAGAGATCATATGCCCTAGAGGGCAGAATATATTTACTGTTATACTCTTCAAGGCAAGTTTGCTGACCCCTGTTCTGTTGCAGGTAGACATACTATCTATTTATTCAGGCAATAGCCTAGGTTATAGGAAATCCATTGGAATCAGGGAAACCTGGATTAGTATTCCAATTTTCCCATTCTACCACTGTCTTGCGTGGTTTTAGCATGCCACTTATCTTTCCTGTGCATCAGTTTCCTTGATTCCAAAATGGGCCCAATGCCTATCCTGATGTGTTCTTACAGGGTTAAATAATAAAATGTATATACATGTTTGCAATTGTTGGTGCTCCATAAAAACTTGTTATGCTTTCCTTTTGGAAATAAAGATATTATCTCATATTGGTATTATACATATTAACACTTATTACAACTTTACAACTACATAAAACCATTTTATATCAGGAGTCAAAATAATCATAGTCTGTAATAAAATAAAGTCCAGTAGGAGAAAAATAGATTTTAATTGCAGTAAATCCAAATAAAGGACATGTTAAACTCCACTTTCCATTTTAGTGCTTTTTCTATCTTAACCATCTTCATCTTGGTTTAAATTTGTCATATTTAAGTTATAGGTTTAAACCTTTTAGATGCTAATGATTGTTCTTTGCTAATTAGGTTTCCAAGGTGCTTCTAGTGCAAAAACCAACTGAAAATACTATGTAAATGAAATTACTGAGAAAGTGGAATAATCTTGTCTGTGAGAGGGAAATAATTTGTTTTTTTAAGATGCCTTTTTAATAATAGCTTAAAACAATAAATCTATGAAGGTTTGTTTTTTCACAGTAGTTAACCAGTCAGTAACATTGCCTACAAAATTCCAATTTAAAAAATGACCTTTTAAAGATGGCATATGAAATTAAATTTTAATGAGTGATAATAAATGGTGGTACTTTTCACAGGAGGAAGCACAATGCTTGCCTAGAGCCCTTGCTACATGTCATCCACTTTAGTGCTCTGTTATTGTATCTTCCCTTTCATTATTTTCCAGGGAAGATGACGGGACAGCACACTTTGAAGAACCGAAAACAGTTTTAATATTGTGCTTACCAAAGGCGATCTTCGTCACTGGCTAATTAGGCAGATGGCTCTCCATTGCTTCAGTGATGATTCTTTTGTAGAATGCTGTTCCGTCCCTCCACAATGACAGTATAAGGTGTTTAAGCATTTCTGTGATTATGTGGCCTGATTGAAAAATAAATCTTCATGATTGGGCTACAAAAAAAAAAAGTGTTTCACTTTACCAGATGGGGACTCCACTACAGTTCTGTAACAAACACAGAAAGATCTTCACAATTGACTTGAATCTAGGAAGAGAAAAGCTTAAGGACAAGAGGGTCCCTGCAAAAGGCTTGATGGCTTTCTTAACAAAATAGGAACAATCACCAATGCTTCATAGGCCAATATAAGCAGTCTTTTATTAATCCTCTGAGCCACTTGAGTTCATCGTGCCATTTACTCAATGAGAACAATTTATCATTAATGGGCAATAATCATGGCAAACATAATTATTAATTTATTGTTTCTAGCTTAAATTTTAAAATATTGTGAAGCTTTCTGCTTTTTATGATGATGCTTTCTCTACCCTTTTTGCCCTGAGGATCCTATTAGCAGAGAGCTGAGCAATTCGGTTTCATCCCCAATAAATTATGCCTTCATTCTTAAAATACAAGTACCGAAGGACTGTAAAGATTAGAAATCTGTTTGAAGTTCCCATCACTTGAAGTTTTTTCCTTGATGTATAGAGCTTCTGGTGTTAATGTAAAACAACACATCTTTCTAAAAGTTCAGAGCCAAGTCACCTTAAAAGAATCCTGGCCGGAGTGGTGGGGGAAGTACAAAATGAAATCCATTACCATGGAGGGTAGAGATGTTCGGTTCCTCAGATCCTGTCTCTAAGATGGGCTGCTGGTGTATTACAGAGTGGGGAGGTGACTATGCTTGTCACCCACCATTTCAAAATGATTAGAAAACTGAAATTCCCAAGAAACAGGAGGTGAATTCTCACTTTCCTCAATGAGGATCTGGACTGTTGGCACCACCCAGGTAACAGGCTGCTGTAAATGAAAACCTTAAAAAAAATAAAATATTTTGTGTAAATGCATTTTCATCCTAGGTATAGTTGTTGGTGTGGGTGTCATTACTTTTCCTTGTCACCATATGATAGAAGGACGTGGTTGTGCCAACTTCTTATTATACTATTTTATTGCCAGTTGTGCCCAATGGCTCAAGAGCTAGTGTGTCTATGCCAGCCATAACTTGGTATTCCAACAACAGTGGGGACCCATGGGGGTGCTCAACTTTGGCTTAAATAAAATTGAAATTAGAAAAAGGGGTGACTCTCCAGTTTTTAACAAATCTTGATCTTTACTTGTTTCTCAGGCTTATATCAAACTGCACTAGGTAGCAATCATTTTTTCTGCTTAATTTTGATATTTAAAATTAATACAAGCCATTTATCAAATATAAAAGCTTAAATTTTGAAAATTAACTTTTCACGATCTGAGCATTTATGCATTATTTCTCTTTCGTATCCACCTCATCCCTTAATTTTGAAAAGTGAGAATATATAGTTAACGTGTGAAATTCTCATAATCTCATTTTTCTTAATGCATATTGAATTTGACTGCCTGATTGTTTCTTCTAAATTAATGCAGACATATTCAGAGATGAGATAATTATAAAACTAAGCGTAAATGGGAGAGGAGTGTTGACCTAAGTAAATAACAGGAAAGGGACAAATTGTTCATGTATTCTCTTTCCAGTGTAGTTAAAGAGTTTTTTTTTTTTTAATTCCAAAGTGAAGTGTAGATCAGAGAGCTACATTTAACTAAAAAGTTTAAAGACAGATGAATTCTGAAAGAAAAAGGGAGCAATCTGGGTTTCCTGAACAGATGTGTACTGATGTACTTTGGCTTATAACAAGTAAAGTGGATAGTTAATGGTAGAAAATGTTAAAACAATTTTCACAAGCAACTTTAGAAGTGATAGATGAGCTTATGATATAGATTGTGGTGATGACTTCACAGGTACACACTTCGCTTCAAACTCGTCAAGTTGTACACATTAAACAAATACAGCATTTTGTATGTCAATCATACCTCAATAAGGTTTTTTTTATATATATAAACAGTTTCATCAACTTGTCAAAAATAAAAAAGCAAAGCTTCCTTTCAGTAGTTAATTTCTGAATTATGTTCTGGATTAAATTATATAACTACTAGGCACAGTAACGGTAAGTGCTTCTTGTTTTTTTTTTTATTTTTTTTCTTTAGAAATGAGTGCATGAAGGCAGAAATTACTGGAAGGGAGGTCAGGGTAAGTCATATCATATTTATTTCTTACTTTTGAAGTGTACAGAATACATTGTGTAAAACTTGTTCAGGAACTCTCGGGGGCTTGTGTCTCAGATAAATTAGACAAATTGAGTTTTTCAGGGGAAATGAAATGTTTGCTATAGCTATGCTACACAGAAATATGCCACTTATCCCTGACATTTTGAGACCCTGCTTTCTGCATGCCAGCCATCTTACTGTTCCACATTGTTAAGTGTATCATGGCCAAAGTGGCAAAAGAATCTCTGGATGAATTCCCATTTTAGAATTGTGAGTCTCATCTCTCCGTGTAGCTTCTTTGTTTTGTTTTGTTCTCTGTTAGTCTGGTATGGCATAGATAGTGCTTAAAATCGCAGGGCAGTACTAAGCTAGGCTTCCAAATGTGACCCATGTTGAAGTCCAAGTGCAGAAGGTCACAGACTGGAGTTGATTATAACATAATCATGTTTCTGTTAGTATCTGTTTAGTCTTTTTAGTACCACTTAGTTGTTTTTCTATGAAGTTTAAATGTATTTGACTTTATGAAAGGATAAAGCATCTGTTGTATTATAAATAATCATGTAAAATCGAAAGCCATGGACTTCTTACCAATGACTTATATGATTTACTTCACTTCTAGTGTGTAATAGATAGATCTGCAAAAAATCATTTTCTTCAAGTAGAGAATTAGAACAAAATGTCTTGAGAAATTTCCTGAAGTTATTCAGAATGTAAATGAGTAACAAAGTCAGAACAAATAGCCTTTTCATGTATAATAAATAACAATAAAACCAAGATCTCCTTTGAAAGGAAAGAGGAAGAGAAAAAGGAAGAAAGAAATGGAAAAAAAAAAAGAGAAAGCAGGGGAGAGAAAGGGCAGGGAAGGGAAGAAAGGAGAGAGGGAGGGAAGGAAGAAAAGTATGGTTGTATTGTAGATTAATTTTTCCTAGTTGTATATTCAGAAGTCTAAATCTGATAATGGTACTCATTTATCTTTGATTGTCAGTGCCTTGTTAAATCTTGCCAATTCAATATTCAGCAGAACACTAAAGGTTTGGGGATAATGGGAGTTGTGCAAAGGGTGGAATTCTGAGCCTTCCTTCATTTTCAGATAATTCAGTTCCACGTGGGCTTTGCATACTGTGATTTTCTATAAAAGTGTGTTTTAAGAAAGAAAGAACTTATATGGCAGTATGCTGAGATCAGTTAAATCTAGCTGGTGGGGACCTGAGTGTCTATAACATTGATTATTTTGCTTTTCTCTGTTTTTGAGATGTTTTTAAATTAAACATTAACAATTCAAAACATTATTTTTTGAAATATCTGCACATGTTCAAAAAAATGTCTTTGAACTTTATTGCTCTGTCATGTCACCAGCATGTTAACTGAGAATGAATGAAATTATCAACACTTTAACCAAGTAGAT